CTTGGTTTTTTTGGGTCCCCCCCCCCCATTTCCGATGGATTTGCTTGCTTCTTGCTTTGCTTTTTTTTGCATTTCCGATGGGTCTTGCACGCTTCGCTTGCTTTTTGCTTTTTTTGCATTTCCAATGGGTCTTGCACACTTTGCTTGCTTTTCTCCCTCCCCCCCAGCTGGAATGGACTGATCGCGTCTCCGATGGGTCTTGCAGTGTGTTTTTTATGATTTTTTTCTTTGGCCAGAATGGATTAATTTCATTTCAGTGCATTCCTATGGGAAATGGTGCTTCGACTTACAACCATTTTGATTTATGACCAGATTTCCGGAACCGATTAAGTTCGTAAGTTGAGGCACTACTGTATTATCAGGTAGCTGAAAATTAAGTCCTAAAAAAAACCAGAACAATCACATTCATGAAATTATCTGGGAGTAGCAAATGTGCAAAGAATGGTTGAAGATTCTGCTCTTAACCTCTGCATATTTATTTGAATGTTTGCAGAGGGCTGCCATGTGCAGATGAACTAATGGCACATAGCCTCCTTTTGTTATGCCAAAACCAAGAACATAAGCACATGTGAGAGATATAGAATTGCACATACTGGTCCCACTTCTAAGAAACTTCTGTGCTTGCTACATCAACTCAATCTCTGATACACACAAATTGAGCTACATTGATCCATAGGGTCATGTTTGGTTGAATGAATATAATAATGTGAGAGATATAGAATTGCACATACTGGTCCCACTTCTAAGAAACTTCTGTGCTTGGTACATCAACTCAATCTCTGATACACACAAATTGAGCCACATTGATCTATAGGGGACCCGTCATGTTTGGTTGAATGAATATAATACTCCTTGGCTTTATCCATTGTAGATGAAGTACAACGTTAAAAGTATACTACTTTTATCAGAATGTGCATGCATGTGATAAGGCAGTAAGAAGCTTCGATTCAGATAATATCAGGGTTCTGATAAAACAGTTCCCTGCTCACATGGACAGTTGTACTTATGTGCATCTGAATACAAAGAAAATTTCCCTTCCTTCAAACTTTGCCACTGTACCTGTCAAAGTGGTAACGAGGACAGAGCTACAGACATTAGGAGTGTGGCCAGCTCACTCTGTTCAGATGCTAACACCTAAAGAGGATATTGGTTGTGGAATGGTACCTCCTACTGAGATGTTGTTGTGGAGATTTTGTGCATTGCTCCAGGATGAAATTATGCAAAGGACTAACATTAAGTAATTTGGCATGAACAAAGTATCAAAGCAATACAATAAGGTACCAAACTAATTTTATTGTTGCACTTCTGTAATTTCCAAGAAACTGATTCTATCAAAACTGGGGCAGTTCATGGACCAGGTCAACAGAGGCACTTCAACACCAAATTTAGTCAGGGTAACTGGCACACCTTCACAGGAGTCCCAATGATCAAAATCTGTTCAGATCTTGCTTCACCATGGGACTATGGGGTTCAGGTAGCTCTTACAAATTTAGTCAGGGTAACTGGCACACCTTGACAAGAGCCCCAATGATCAAAATCTGTGCAGATCTTGCTTCACCATGGGACTGTGGGGTTCAGGTAGCTCTTATGAGTTGCTGGATAGCTCAGTGGTTTTGGCATCTGGCTGCAGAGCCAGAGGCTGGAATTTAATTCCTCACTGTGCCTCCCTGGCAGGAGCTGGACTTGATGATCTATAGGGTCCCTTTCAACTCTGCAGTTCTAAGAGGATGCTGATTGCTTTATAGACATCCATTTGTGGAATTCTCTGAGGGCTTCTCCAATATAGTATTTTACAGCAGTCTCGAGGCACTGTAACATGTAGCACTCTTTCAGCACTTCAGAAATCATGTTGCTGCCAAACAGCTTGGTGGGACAGAAATGGAATCTCAAAAAGGAAAGGGAAAAAAAAAGAGTGGTAGTCTGCTTCACCACTGTTTCTTCTATTTCCAGTTTTCAGATAAGAGCATTGTGACGTAGGCAGCTGAAGATGTAATGCCCAAACACAAGGGGGAGGTATCAGCAAAGTAAATACAAAAATATGTAGAGAGAGAAAAAAAACACTAATGGGAAACAAAGAGGGTGTTCAGTGCCCAGAGAATGCTAAAAGACTGGGGGGCAGGCGGGCGGCGGGAGGGAAATCAGGAGCATGCCTTTACATGTCCCAGATGAAAAGCTCATAGCTTGAGGCAAAGGCTGTATGCTCCCACATGCATGTGCTAGGCCTGTGAGATTTTCCTCAGCAGTATTGCTCCCTACATTTACCAGATATTGGTAAATGGGGATCAGAGTTCGGAGTTCTTTTGTTTTTGTTTTTCCTATAGCCTTTCCGCTATTTCCTTACTCAAAATATCTAAATGCCATGAAGTTTGCCTTGATGATTAATATGTTTCGATTGTCTACAGTGTACACTGGCTTATATGCTGCCTACTGTTTCTTGGTTGCATTTTATTTTCTTGTTTTTTTTACTGTTTATTGCTTGAACTCCTTGTGAACCAGTATGAAGGTTTTAAGGATACAAAAAACATTTTAAAAAAAACTGAAAAGTTGGTGGACCTTGTTATACCTCCATCTGTCAGAATCAGCATCCTTCAGAAGCAGAAGCCTGGGTCAAGTTAGGTTGTTGTTTATTAATTATCATTAACATGTTGTTACTAATTAACAATTTTATTTGTA